AATAAACTTCCGTTATTATGACACAGCTCGCTCATGGGAGTTTTGCTATAGCATTCTGAGCAGGCTAAGACACCACCCTGTGATTCTGATCCAGAGGGCCTAGAGAGGAGGCCTAGGATCTACACCCTTGCACACACTCGGGTGGCTCTGAGTCCCGTGGCCTGTGGGTCTCACTTTGAAAAACACCGCTCATTGGTTCCATGGTGGACATTTTATTGAGTAACAGGTTTCTTAGGGAGAGTCCTTCATTGCAAACTTGCCTGTGGCCATCTGGGAAGACCATGGGCAGGAAAAGGGACACTGATGTTGTCTCTGAGGCTCTGCGTCACCATCTTCCCACTTGTTTCTCTTCTAGATAAGAGCCCAGAGCCTGGCCCTGGAGCCACCCAGGGAGCAGCCTTGGCATTCTGGCTTCTCTCTCCTGCTGCCCCTAATCACACCCTGAAGAAACCAGACGAAGAAGCTCCGGGAGAGTGGGGAGGAGAGAGGGTCTAATTAGCTCCCAAGGAAATGGGCACTGACCGGGGGAAACTGGGGCCTGAGGTGCCTCTTCCTCCCCAGCCTCCCAGGCCAGCAGGCAGGAGCAGGCCCACCAGGACATGGGCTGGAGGGGCAGGGGCCAGGTGAGATTCCACCTGGGCTTAGACCAAAGGTCATCCCTAGCAAAGCGAGCATCATTTTCAAGGTGCTAGCAGCAGCCCATCGAAACGTACAGCTATCCCAAGACAGCCCTGTCTCTGCCAGCTTTGGCATCTACACGGGATGGTAGTCCGACCTCTCTACATGCCGACATTCCCAGTTCTCCAGCCGCGTGAGCCTACGCGGCCTTCTCAGCAGGCTTAGGCTGGTGAGCGCCAGCACCAACCTTTGGTTTTCTCAGTCATTTTAATTCGGTGATTAGATCAGTGAACCTTCCTTGGCACTTACTCCATGCCAGGATCTGTTCAAGGCTTGGGACCCGGCAGTGAGCAAAACAGATGAAAATCCGCACCCCTGTGAGGAGGTCGCCACTGTACTGGGGTGACAGGGGAAGACCTCCGCCACCTCTGTCACGAGTAGGAAAAGTGAACATCTTACCTCCCAAGCTTTGTCTGAGAATCCAGCCAGGGGAGGCACAGAGTGACAGCCTGGCTCTCCAGAAGTGGCCAGAGCCAAAGCAAAAGGGTAACCCCAGGGATGAGAGGAGCCCACACTGCAACGCCTTGCTTCTCAGCAAACAGAGAAGGCAGCAATGGCAACTAGGCCACGATACCCTGCCCTGGCTCCACCCTCTGCATGGAGGGCCCAGGAGGGCTGCTGACTGCACGCCCACCCAGAGGTCACTGACATGGCAAAGGTAAGTAACTGTCTAGCCCTTGTCTTCCCGACGATCTTCTCAGGGTCACCTTGGTGCAGTCAAAGGTTCGATAAGGGCCTGCAGCGTGGTCATGTGTTCTGAGACTGCAGTAGCCAGGCAGGTGAGCCAGGCTGATGCTGGCTCAGTGCTGGTGGCAGCAGGTGGATGGGGGACATAGCAGGTGGTGTCCCACCCGATGGTCTTCCATACGCTGAGCAGGCCGGACCAGAAACACAGCAGATGAGGGGATCGCCACCCCAACCCAGCAGAGGGACCAAGGACATCGATGCTCTCTGCCTGCCAGTGCTCCTAGGAGGGTGAACGTCATTCCTGCACTTTTCAAGGTCAACATGGAAGATAGAACCATCAACTTCTTGATCCCAGATCCAGGAACCAAGACAAGGAGCAAGGAGTGCCTTGTCAAGGTCCCCAGCTATGATGGAGGCAGGACTAGAACCCAGGGCTCTGAGCTCTGAGCCTGGGTAGGTATCCTCCCTGCCAGGGGTGTTTCAGGCTGGTTGCACCTGTTCCTGAAGGCTACTCAGAACATCCCTTACTTTGAAGCCCCAGCTCCCACACCTTGAACTTCCAGCTCCTCCTGAGCCTTTGACAGGTAACTGACTGACTTTTACTGAGCCTCTTCACACCTGCTTTATGGATGCGGAGGTAGTACATGCCTCACAGGGGTGCTGGGAAGATGCGATGAAGTCCATGTAACACACTTATCAAAGCGGCCCACTGGGACGTGCTCCATAATCGCAATATTACTTCTGTATGAGGATGATGGTACTTCTACAGACCCAAGGCCTCTCCAAGGGCCTGCCAAACCTCCTTTTCAAGTTCCATGCCTACTGCAATCAGTTAACAGCTCTGGCTGGCTATCCATGCCGGGTACAAGTACCGTGCGGTGGCAAAAAAACCATGACTCTGCCGGGATCCTCAAGGGCCACAGTCCAGCTACAGATAAGAGCACAGTCAGCAAGTAAATCCGTGCCCAGCTGGGAATGTGGATGGGAGCCTTGAGAGGATGGAGGAGGGGAGGATGCAGCTGCAGGGCTGCCACAGGAAGGGTGGGAAGGGCTTTTAACTGTTATAGGACATTAGACTCACCGTCAAGGCTTAATAAGAACTACAGGTGGCCGGTGTTCACCCCAAGCCATCCTGACTTGGTAGCCCCGGAGAAGGGGCTGGAAATCTACCCTGAAACAAGCTTCTAGGTGACTTCAGGCAGGTGGCTCATCCGCTTGGCATCTCAGACTCACTTCTGCTCCCGCTCCCAGACCCCAGCACTGGGCACTCTATCTCACAAGTCCAGGCCTTGACATTTGCAGTCCCCACCTCTGGGTCCTCCCTGGTCTGCCTGGTCCCATGCACCGTTCAGGGCCTGCCTGGCCAGAGCCTGTCACATACTCCCTGATGCCCACAGCCCCCAGTCCTGGGCACACCCACACCCTATCCTTCAAGGAAGCAAAGGCACAGACTCGGGAATCTGGAGGACTCAGGCTGTATCCCTGCCCCTCTGCTTCCCTAGTGCTTGGCCTTGGGCAAGCGACTTAACTTCTCTGAGCTTCTGTGGCTTCTTCTGAAAAATGAGTATAAAATATTCCCTTAGAATGATGGTGAAGATTACAGGAAGTGATGTGTACAAAGCGCTTCATACAGTAAATGTTCCACAAATGGTAGCCAATATATTAGGAGCATTAATAATGATAGCAGCAATGACATCTGTTGGCACGCGTCTCCTCCACTCGACCGCAGGGCCTTCGGCAACTGTATTATGTCTCATCATTACTCCCAGCGTCTTAGCAGTGGCCTTGATGTAGGGCAGGCACTTACGGAACGAATGAATGAATTCATGCATTAATGAAATGTAAGCAGGTTAGAGAAGCTAAGGGAAGGCTTCCAAGAAGTAAATACTGAACCAGGCTGCAGGAGACTTGAAGGATTTGCATGGTGTATCATTAGCCACGGCCTCAGTTATGCTGAGAGTGTAGCCACCCACCACCAAACCTCAATGGAAGCACTTGACGCTCCCTCATCAGCCCGCCAGCTGGGGAGCCCTGCTCTGGGCTGGGTTCCTCTGGGGTGGCTGGACCAGGCTGCCCTGCCCGTGTGTTTCTCATACTGCTTCTGGGCAGCAGGCTAGCTCGGGCGTGTTCTCCCTGCACCTGTGGCCACCAGTCGGCAGAACCATGCAGGCCTCATAGTCCTAAGTCTGGAGGTAGGCTCACTGTCACTTCCACCTCATTCTATTGGCCACAGCAAGTCACGTTGCAGTCAGACTCAAAGTCGGAGCACAGGAATGTCCTCCTTCCTGCTGTTAATGGGAGGAAATGTGAACTTACATGAAAAAGGACACAGACAGGGGAGTGCTGAAAAGTGGGATCAAATCTCCAGTGTCTCAGGGGTTCCAGGGCAAGAGGAAAGGAGGATCCTTTGCGAGGTGGGAGGAAAGAGGCTGAGCAAGGCAAAGGCCAGCCCAGGCCCCTTATGGGATGGAGAGTCCCTGTAGGGAGGAGTCACAGTGGTCCTTCACGCTCCCAGCATACTGAGAACCCCTCACTCATTCCTTCATTTGTTCGGTGAGCAATATTCACGGGGCACTGGATGTGTGCCAGGCTCATCCTCAGTGCTGTGGAGACAAGGTGAGGAAACTGAGACAAGGCTGCAGCCCTACTGGTCAACCAGAAGCTCTGCTTCTTCTCCTGGCTCCTGCACCCATTGGCTCGGTGACCTTGGGCAAATCACCTCCCCTCTCAGAGCATGGCGGCCACTGCTAATAATGCTTTACATTTGTAGAAGGCTTTTAACTTGATCAAAACGTCCTCACATACGTTCTCTGTGAAGCATCGGAGAGCGGTTTCATTACATCCCTGATTTGACAAGTGAAGCTCTAATGGATGTAAAATGCACTGAGCTCCTTGGAAGTGCTCTCCAGAGAGGGCTCGGTGGGGCCAGTCCCTTATAACAAACCCTAGGACTCGCTCTACAACAAAGCGAATCCCTGGATATTGGCTAACGGTCGTCATTTCAAACAATGTTTGGGGCCACACAATCCCTGTGTGACCCAAGGACTGGGACAACTTCCTTTATCTTTCCTTTTATTTTAAAAAGCTACCACTCTGAACATTTCAAAGATTCTCGTAGAACTTTTCCAATTTAATTTAAAAGAAACGAGCAAAGAAAAGATTGCCTCCTCCTAGCTGGCTTCGCAAAGGAAAATGGGAGAGGTAAGCCAGGTCGTGGAGAACGGCCGGAGCACTGCGGCTCCTTGTTTAATCAGGCACGCTCCCCAGCCCTAGGAAGCAGGCTGCACAGTTTACTAGGAGGAGACATGGAAGTGCCACTTTCTCCTCGTCCCATCGAACCTGCCCCTCAGCCCTCTGTTCTGGGGTCAAGCCTAAAGCAAGTTTCTTTTGCCAAGAATTAGCTATGTGCTAAATGTTTGCAGTACTCCCTCTTCTTACCCCAGTCTTGCAGCAACCCACAACAACACCCAGAGCAACCCACGACCCCCAGGGCAACCCATAACATCCAGAGCAACCCACAACCCCCAGAGCAACCCACAATCCCCAAAACAACCCACAACAACAAAGGATGGAGGGTGGTCGATATATCAGTTACGTATTACTATGAAATAAATTATCTCACGCTTGGTGGCTTAGTACAACTATGATTTATTTGCTTGTGATTCTGCGGTTGGGCTGTGTTTAGCTGGGAGGTTCTTCTGCTGGTCTCACCTGGGGCCCTCACCTGGGCCAGTCATCTGGCAGCTCACCTGGATTGGATGAGTGAGAGAGGACACTGCAGGACCATCACAGGAGGAGGAGGCCCTGCAGAGATAAGTCACATTGGCCCCTTCTGCTCCCAGCACTTGTAGATCATCATTCACTCATTCATTCATTTGTTCAATGTGCGCTGTTCGCAGCACACTCGATAGCGTGGACTGGACGGGATGGTGCAGTCGTTCCTGTCTGTTGAAGGGGCAGCAAGGCTGGGCACCTCGGTCTCCTCTGCATGGCCTCTCTCTCTGGCAGAATAGTCCAGGCTTCTGGGACAGTGCAGCAGTGCTTGCAGCGTCTAGACCAGCCCGAATTCTGTGCTCATCAGCCCTCTGGTACATCATGTGTGCTAATGTCCCGTGGCCCCACCCAGCGCCAGTGAGGGAGGAGCCTCCACGAGGACACACACCCAGGGAGGGTATTAAGGAGCAATTAACCCCAAAGGTAGACCTGCCAACTTCCTCCGCCTTCTGAGGGACAACTTCGAAGTGTGTTCTGCTCAGTCTTTCAGACAGTCCCCTAAGGTCTGAGTTCGTCCGCCCACCTCTGTGACCCAGTTGCTATTACAGTGTGTACGTGCTTTTCTCTCCCCTGGCTCACTCTCCCTGCTCCCTTACTGTGCTTCCTCAAGTCCCTCCCCAAATAAACTACCTGCTCCTATGTCAGGTTTCACTCTGCAGCATCTTCAAGGCATAGACTCCCAAGCACATGTTCAGTTTTACTGTACCGGCCTCCTGGAGGGACAGAGCAGAGAAGACAGGCTGAAATGGGAAACACGGAGGCTGGGGCACTAGGGAGCCACTGAAGGCCGTGTGCTGGCACAGGCATGATCAGTAGACAACTCCAGTTTCTCAGACTGGCCTGGCCTCGGGAATGGAGTACGCTGGGTCTGGGATGGTGACCTGACCTCCAACAGAGACAGGAGGCTAGACCCTGCAAACGCCCAGCCCACCACGCATCCGCCTTCCTGGGTCACTCCAGATCCCCAAAGCTGGCCTGAAACCGCCCCTTCCTACTTTTCTGAGCTCTGTTTTTACTGATTATGCAAATCTCCCCTCCCAGCCTAAGCAAAGCAGGCAGGAAGTGGGGCAGCATGACAGGATAAGAGGGGCGGACGACAGATTACAGCCACCCCCTCTGGTAAACACAAGTTTAATTGCTTTTTGGAGAGGAGGAGGGGGGCAGGCTCAGGAATAAAACACATTCCCAGCCAGGCATGTCGGAGCTGCGGAGCTGAGCCCATGGAGCACCGGGGAGCAGCCGGCGCTGACCTGGTGGTGGAAAGAGGCAGCAATGCGGAGGAGCCCTGGGCCGTGGGGCGTCGTCCCAGTCACTTGGGCCAGCAGGGGTGGGGGACACTGGAGGCGAAGGGTCCCACCTGTGCCTTTAGCAACAGCAACAACAATGACAATACTACTTTCTATGTTTCTTGAGAACTCACAAGGTGCCAGTCACTGGGCTGACTATGCTACACAAATTATTTGATCTTCACAAGAGCCCTAAGATACTCATCATCTCCATTTTACAGGCAAGAAAATGGAAGTGCAGGTGAAATTTGCTGAAGACCAGCCACCCTGGGGCCAAGGGCCCATCTGGGAAACAAACTCCCATTTATTGGGCCCTGCTCTGTGTCCAGTGCATCTTGTAAATAAGGAATAAGGCCTGGATTCAAAGCCAGACCTGCCCGGTGCCAATGACTATGCCTTTAACTGCGGAGCGACACGGTGTCCCGCATGCTACTGCGCATGTCTAAGGAACGGCTCCTAAGTATTGGGCACTCGTTCTGTGGCAGGCCCCCAGGCCTACACGCCATGTACGAATGAGATGGAATTCCCGCCCTTGAGAAACCCTCCATCTAAAGGGATGCAAACATAACCCGCAGTAGAGGTAGAGGTGGGTGGGCACCCAGGCACACCCAATTCTGCCTGTGAAGGTTGAAACGGGCTTTGCAGAGGAGGCCGGATCTGAAGCTTAGAGGATGAGAGGACCGATGGTCGGAGGGGCAGGGATGGCAGTGAGCTGTCGTAGGCCACCGTCGAGGCGGCAGCCAGCGTGGTCTGGGTGGGCCAAGAGCCTGCTGCCAATGGGGCGTGGGGGCACGTGGTGAGAGTGTGCTGACTACAGCCAGCTGGTGGGCAGGAGCCGCCTGGCGATGGGTCTCACCTGCCAGCCTGAGGCCTGAACCCGTCCCCAGCGTCCTTGCAGCAGCACACTGTCTGAAGGGATGCTTCCGGAACCAGGCACGCCTGTGGCCAAGGCCGCCTGGGAAGCACCACACGTCCAGCCTCTTCTGGACACTGCTCAAGTTTCCAAGAACCCTGGTAGTGAAGAAGCCTGCCGAGACCAGGCTCCCCCAGAGCCACTGACCACAGAGACCTCCCTGCCCGAACACCCTGGATCAGCTGCAGGGACCGTCCTTCGGGAAGGGAGCATGTGAGGGCAGTGACGGGAAGGCCATTGTGCCCACTGCTCCCCCAGCACCATGAGGGCTTCAACCAGAGGGTGGCAAGGAATAACAATAGCAAGTAGCTTTTTATTTTTCTAAATTTTCTGTAGGGTGTTTGAGCTCCCTAGAGAGAGAGAGAGAGAGAGCAAGAGAAAGAGAGAGAGAGAGAAGGAGATAAAACATTGCTGGGCAGATGGCCACACCACAATCCACTCTCCTCTCAGGATCTTGGGTTCAAGCACACATGCTTATGATGTGTTTTTCAAACTGCCAGGTCAAGGATTTGAACCACACAGTTGACCATGTGGGATCAACCGCCATGCCACCTGCTGGCCCCTAACATTTTCTTTTAAAGACAGGTTCTAGCTGTGTCTCAGTCTCCTGCCTTGGCATCACAGCTGGGACAAGAGACACACGCCACCATGCCAGGCCTCTCAGTGGGACCAGTCACTGGTCTTGGGCCGCCCCTGTGCTCCCAGTCTGTGCCGTGTTTTTGCTAAGCAAACCACACACCACCGCAGCTGCCACAGTCCTTTACCGAGTACTTACCACGAGCCAGCCCACGCTGGGTGCCCTGCGAGTCAACTCACGAGGTTCTCAAGTTGTCGTTATTATTCCCATTTTGCAGATGGGGAGAATCAGGGACTCGCCTGCTCCGTCTCCCCAAGTAGACGCAGGAGCCAGGACTTGAGTCCTAGGCTGTCAGACCCTGAAGGCTCAAGTCTTCGCTGCATTGTCACTCCCATCTGTGCCTTCCTGCTGTGCTATTTTTTTAAGAATTATTTTATTTAACTTTATTTATTATTATAATTATTATTTTCCATTTGATCAGAGAGAGACAGAGAAAGAGAGAGAGGAAAAGTGAGAAAGCAAGCCACCAGATCCGGGACTTGAACCATGATCAGCCATATGGAAGCCCAGCGACTTTAACCACCACACCACCTGCCGGCCCCAAAATCTAGTCTGTGAAGAGGGCCCCAGCCTGGCACAGGGAAAGGGCAGCATAGGGGCATTGCTTTCTCTTTCAGGGAGACTTCTCAGACCTCAGCCCGTCCTGGTGAGATCTGTCCTGCACTGTCGGGATCCAGCAGTCCAGCTCCACACACGTGTCCCAGGCCCCCTCTCCACAAAGGACTATCCTCAGGAGGGAGCCTCATTCATCCCCAGTTTCCAGGAGTCCTACTCCCTCTGGAGACCCATCACAGAATTCCCGGGAGGAAAGGACTTGGGAGACCATGGATTTAAAGCAAAAGTGAGGCCGACCCCAAATTTAGAGCAGGAGGAAGTGGAGTTGCCCTGTTGGAGGTGGGGTAGGCACCCCAGACCTACCTGCTCAGCCTTCCCTTCCGCTCCCACAGCTCCCGCTAACACTGGCCGGGTCAGACTGCCCCACACGATGGGACTGGCCGCCACAGGGACTAACATGTCCTGAAGCCACAGGAAGAGGAAATGCATTTTCACTGGGAAGCCTTCCAAAAGGTGAACTTGGCCCAGCTGCAGTGGCTCAAGTGGAAGGGCCACAGGGAAGGCCCAGGGTCAGGCCCAGCACCAGCCCAGGCAGGCCGAGCGTGGTGGTGCACACCCGCGACCTGGCTGACTGGGAGACGAGGCAGAGGAGACCAAGGGTGAGACCCTGCTGAATGCCCCCTCCCCTGGCTCTCTTGCTCATGAGAAAAAAAGAGGACTTAGGGGCCAGCAGGTGGTGTGGTGGTTAAGGCACTGGACTACCACGTGGCTAACTGCAGTATGAGTCCCAGACCTGGCAGCTTGCTTTCTCTCTCTCTGGTGAGCACACGTACCCTGTGACAAATTTTAAAAATTATAATGAGAAATAAAATTAAATAATTCTTGAAAAGAAGAAGGAGAAGAAGAAGAGAAGGAGGAGGAGGAGGAGGAAAGAAGAAGAGGCAGAGAAGGAGGAGGAGGAAGAGGAAGAAGAAGGAGGAGGAGGAAGAGGAAGAAGGAGGAGGAGGAGGAAGGAAGAAGGATGAGGAAGAGGAGAAGAAAAAGAAGAAGGAAAGAAAAGGTTTGATCTGAGCCAGAAATGGAGGTGGGAACACTGGCTGAGGGATTAGTGAAGGTGAAGGCCCGAGGCCAGGAGTTCCTGGAGTGTGTGCGTACCATTTCCCAGGGGCGCGGAGGTGGGCGGTGGGAGGAGAGTGGTGAAGGTGCTCCTCACTCACCACGCCAGCATCACCCCCCAGCACTTCCCGGCAGAGAGGGAGGGTCTGGGCAGGTGAACCACATGGTCACACTCCAGAGCTCTCCTTGCCGCTTTCGTGGGGGCATGCGAACAGCTCCTCTGAAACTGGGGTGTTGCTTTCCGTTCTTTTTGTTCCCCAGGCTCTTGGCTCTTCTAACCATGGAAAATTGGAAATCCCCCTTGGAAGGTCACTCCCCTGTCCCAAAGCCTGGGATGCAGCAGGATGAGGGAGGACTGTCCCTGGCTGCTAGGATGAGGTAGGAATGCACCCTGCTCCTGGGTTGAGGGAAAACTGTACCCTGCTTCTGGGATGAAGGAGGACTGCTGCCTGCTCCTGGGATGAGGAAGGACTATCCCTTATTCCTGGGATGAGGAAGGACTGCTCCTCTCCTGGGCTGAGGGAAGACTGTGCCACAGATCCTGGCAGCCTGAGAGCATCTTCCGGTTGCGCTCCCATCCGAGGCAGTAGAGGGCACAGGAACTAGCCCTGCGCGTGGGGTAAACCCATGGGGTTTGAGCCCTGCTCCGCAGCTGGGTGGCCACAAGAAAGCTGCTCCCCTTCTCTGATCTGTTTCTTCCTTCACAAAGAGGGGACAATGAGGCTTGCATTGTGGGGTCCTTGTAAGGCTCTCACTAGACCACGGATGCAAGAGTACAGGGCTTTGTATACCCCATGGGCTATAGAAAGTCAGGCATTGCTTGGAGGGCAGCACGGAGTTCAGCTCCCACCCTGGGCCATGCTCGTGGACACAGCAGGACAAGTTGTTGCTCTCGGTGCCAGCTTAAGACAAGGCCGGCACAAAGAAGGCACTCGAGGATGCAGGCTGCCGAGTGTGCGGCACCAATGCTCACCCAGTGCGAAGCTCCCGTCCTCAAAGAACCTAGGGTTTACATCACAAGGGAGCAGAGGTGACATTTTAAACAAGGTTCCCAGGGACCAGCAATTGGAGTAATGGCTATGTCATTGGACTCCCATGTAGTCGACTGTGGTTCGAGTCCCGGACCCACGCCGGGTGCATGTGCGTGCATGCCCAAGATCCCGGAAGGAGAATGGAGAAGAGATTGCGGCATGGCCATCCCCCCAG